GCCACCATGCCCAGCTAATTTTTTGTATTTTTAGTAGAGACGGGGTTTCACCATGTTGACCAGCATGGTCTCGATCTCTTGACCTCGTGATCCACCCGCCTCGGCCTCCCAAAGTGCTGGGATTACAGGCTTGAGCCACCGCGCCCGGCCAATACCACTGATTTTTGTTGTCCAGTCGGCCTGCTGACTGCAGTAAGGCATGCAATGGTTGGTCTCCATATTCAGCTTTGTAATGACCAGACTAAATATGGAGTGCCTCTTGGGCAAGTTGGTTAACCCAAATTAGTAGCGGCTTTCTCACCTACAAAATGGGGAGAAGAGCATTCTCTCTCTCACACTGCTAAAGTGAAAACCACGTCACATCATCCACGCAGTGTGCTTAGTACTGGGCCTCACACTGGCAGGGTGAGTGATGTGAACAGTGGCGAGGTCAGCACAGCCTGGCTGAGAACTCACAGTCTGAGAGCTCTGGGGAGACCAGCTGTGAGAGGGTAGCAGTCTATTTTGGGTACCTACAGGATAACCCACTCTCTTGTCCGCAAGCCTGGGCTGTACTCTTGGAATCATGGCTGATAGGAGCAGTCCTCCATCCACCCACAGCCAACGCATCCAGCCCCAGCAACTGTGCCCCAAACCAACGGAGCAGGCCCAGCAAGGCAGTGCAGCAAGCTCAGAGACACTGCTGAACTGCCTCCTGTGACTTGCTGTGACACTTCCTTGCTTTCTCCCTTCCTGTTTCCTTAGCTGACGGATGCCCCTTCTTTCCTAAGGCTAAAACATTTAGAAATCTGAATTGGAGGAAACTGTGATTTACTGTGGAGATGCTGGTATGTTTCCCGGAATGTCATTATAGGGTCACTGTGTTCCCATTCAGAGCACCTTTTACTGGGTTGTGAAGCCCTTACCTCCAGAGCAGACACAGCTCTGTTTCTTGCAGGTCAAGTAAGCTCTATAGCTCTTGTAGATGAAAAGCCACTGCCTGGATATTTGTCAGAATGAGATATATAAGAAGGCAGGCTTGGATTTTATACACCCATGAAGGCCTACTCATGGCACCCCCCTCTGTCACCTGATAACTCACAGGAGGACTAGGCAGCCACAGCTACATGGCAGGTCTGCAGGGCTAGCATGGGAGCTGTCCTACCTGCCACCAAGTAAAGAAGGCTACTTGCAGGAACAGTAGAATAGGTAAGAGCTCATTTCTGTATTTATATACACACACACATATGTATATACACATATACATATATATGGTTTACATAAAATGTATAAAATCACATGGATAGATGTAGGATATATAAAAAAATAAATTGGCCAGGCCCAGTGGCTTACGCCTATAATCCCAGTACTTTGGGAGGCCGAGGCAGGTGGATCATGAGGTCATGAGTTCAAGACCAGCCTGGCCAAGATGGTGAGACACTGTCTCTACTAAAAATATAAATATAAATATTAAAAAAAAAAAAAGCCAGGCGTGGTGATGTGTACCTATAATCCCAGCTACTCAGGAGGCTGAGACAGAGAATTGCTTAAACCCAGGAGGCGGACATTGCAATGAGCCGAGATCACCTGGGTGACAGAGCAAGATTGTCTTAAAAAAAAGATCACTGGGCATGGTGGCTTACTCCTGTAATCCCAGCACTTTGGGAGGCTGATGTGAGAGGATTGCTTGAGGCCAGGAGGTCAAGGCTGCAACCACCTATGATCCTACGATCATAGCTCCACTCTAGTCCGGGTGACAGAGAAGATGCCTTCTCTGAAGAAACAAAACATAATTATTATTATTATTATTTTGAGACAGAGTCTTGTTCTGTCACCCGGGCTGGAGTGCAAAGGCACGATCTCGGCTCACTGCAACCTCTGCCTCCTGGGTTCAAGCGATTCTCCTGCCTCAGCCTCCTGAGTAGCTGGGATTATAGGTGCCTACCACCACACCCTGCTAATTTTTGTGTTTTTAGTAGAGATGGAGTTTCAACATGTCGGTCAGGTTGGTCTCAAACTCCTGACCTTGTGATCAGCCCGCCTCAGCCTCCCAAAGCGCTGGGATTACAGGTGTGAGCCACCATGCCCACCAACAAAAGATAATTAAACAAAAATCCTGGGATACTGTTAGCACGGATTATCTCTGGGAGTTGAATTTGGAAGCTAGGAGGACTTTTGTTTTTTGTACTATATGCTTCTATGTACTATTTGAATGTTTTACCCAGTAGGCATTCTTTTTTTTTTTTTTAACTTTTAACTCGGAATAACTTCAGACTTAAAATTGCAGGAACAGCACAAATAACTCCCATGTTCCCTTCATGCAGAGTCCCTGTTAACCTTTTACCTAATTTCCATTATCATATTCTCTCTCCGTGTATATACATGTATACAGTTTATAATATATATAAAACTGTGTGTATATAGCGTATAATTTTTTCCTGAATCATTTGAAACTGGAGACATAATGCTCCTTTATTCCTGTTTCAGTGTGTTTCCTGAGAACAAGGGCACAGTACACTTCTCCAAGTCAGGAAATGAACATCGTTACAATACTATAATCTTAAATTATAAAACCAGGTTTTCGAGCTGGGCTCAGTGGGCCATGCCTGCAGTCCCAGCTGAGGCGGGAGGATCACTTGAGCTCAGGCGTTGGAGTCCAGCCTAGGCAACATAACCAGACCTGATCACAAAACCAGGTTTTAAAAGCAGAGAGCATGAATGGTAGTGAATAGTTGGGCACCAGGCCATGCCCACTCACTCATCTGCCTCTCCGTCCACATGTGTAGACGCAGCCTCCAAGCATGCAACCCAGGCCTTCTTTGACTGTCTGCGTGCTGAGATGGAACAGTATGAAATTGAGGTGACCGTCATCAGCCCTGGCTACATCCACACCAACCTCTCCGTAAATGCCATCACCGCGGATGGATCCAGGTATGGAGGTGAGGCCTGGTTTCTCTTTTCTCCTATGAAAATCTCTCAGTTGGCCAGGCACAGTGGCTCATGCCTGTCATCACAGCACTTTGGGAGGCCGGGGTGGGCGGATCGTGAGGTCAGGAGTTCGAGACCACACTGACCAACATGGTGAAACTCTGTCTCTACTAAAAATACAAAAATTAGCTGGGCGTGGTGGTGCAGGCCAGTAATCCCAGCTATTCAGGAGGCCGAGACAGGAAAATCGCTTGAACCCGGGAGGCAGAGGTTGCAGTGAGCCGAGATTGTGCCGTTGCACTCCAGCCTGGGTGATGGAGCAAGACTTTATTTCAAAAAAAGAAAATCTGGGCCGGGCACGGTGGCTCAAGCCTGTCATCACAGCACTGTGGGAGGCCGAGGCGGGTGGATCACGAGGTCAAGAGATCGAGACCATCCTGGTCAACATGGTGAAACCCCGTCTCTACTAAAAATAAAAAAAACATTAGCTGGGCATGGTGGTGCGTGCCTGTAATCCCAGCTACTCAGGAGGCTGAGGCAGGAGAATTGCCTGAACCCAGGAGGCGGAGGTTGCGGTGAGCCGAGATCGCGCCATTGCACTCCAGCCTGGGTAACATGAGTGAAACTCCGTCTCAAAAAAAAAAAGAAAATCTGTTGGTCAGCCACAGTGAGACATGCTGCTCTTACCTCAGTGATTCTTTGGTCATTTTCATCTGGAACAGAACTTTTAAAGGGGCAAAGCTTGACAGAGGTGTTGGTTACAGACATGGACTAGTGAATAATCTTCGTTTACCTCACCATGGCCCACCCTTAGGTTGAACCATTGCAGCATTCAGAACAGGACCTCTGTGGGCAGGACTCAAGGGCTAAAAGGAAGTTGCCACACTGAAATGCCACCAGACTTCCAACTAACCCACTCACAGATCCCGTGGTCCAAGGAGTATTAGTATCAGGGTTGAGTGAATTGACCTCACGGCAAGTGTAAGGTGTTTGATGGTCTGCCTCTGTCCCGTAGCTTGAGAAATGACTGATTCAGGGCCAGTCTTCAGGGTGAGGCTGAGGGTGGCAGTCTCAGCACCTTCATCTCGTCTCATTTGGAGACAGTGCAGAACTGACCTGCAGTCACCACTCATGGGCCCCAGGCTCAGGCCAAGCAGAGACCATTGTGCCGTGAACAGCGGAGGCCTTGGAGCTGGTGCTGCCTCCCCGTGCTTGGAACAGGGCCCGCTCACCCTCCAGTGCTGTCCTGCCATGTCCTCCTCCCTGATGTGATCTCCTGGGGTTTGCGCTGTGGTGTCTGCCCGGGGCCTTATGCTCCTGCACCCAGCCCAGCCAGACCTGAAGCAAACTGCCCGTGTCTTGGCAGCAGCTGCTCTCTCACACAGCAAGTCTTGTTTTCCCCACAACAGAAACTATACAGAGGCGTGGGGCCCGGTACAGCTTTTTACCTGTTTATACATAAAAGATACCGCTTTAAAAATGATCTCTGTAGCACTTAAAAATAAGCTGTAATCCAAAACTTCCTGTTTATCTGTATTAACAAAAACACAATGAGAACAGACACTGGTGAGGGAGCTCAGGCAATCTGGACAACTTCAGAGTGGTTTCATGTGGCTGGGCACTGTGGCTCACGCCTGTAATCCCAGAACTTCGGGAGGTGAAGTCAGGAGGATCACTTCAGCCTAGGAGTTTGAGACCAGTCTGGGCAATATTGCAAGACCTTGCCTCAACAAAAAGTACGAAAATTAGCCAACCATGGTGGCACTGCTTATAGTCCCAGCTATTTAGGAGGCTGAGGTGGGAGGA